GGGCCGGGACCGTCAGGGCAGTTGGCGTCTGGGGGGAGGGGGCCGGCCCGTCGGCCGGAGAAGGGTCCGGGCCCAATCTGAGGCGCGCGTGGCACTCGTCTAGGGGACCGCTCCCCATCCCGCGGCGGCATGTGCGGCACCGAGTTCTCGCTGCTACCTGAAACTGCAGCAGCTTCTCTGTCTGCTCCTGGGTGAGATCCCGCTCCTCAGGCGCCGCCATTTTGCCGCCGCCTCTACGCTCCTGACCCGTCCGCACCGTCACCCGCCGGAACTGACCTCAACCGCAACCACATCCGCTCTGAACGGCCGCCTGCGCGCAGTTGCGCCTGCGCGCGCGGGCCCGCGGCCCTCAGCCGGCCGCCAGAGGGCGCCGCCCTCGGGTCCGTCCCGAACACGTCCGGAAACCGCCGAGGGACTCTCGGTACTCGTCGCCCTTACTATTTAGGCCACGAACACATCCGCCGGCGAGGCTCAAGACGCCTCCAGCGATCGCGGAGCCGAGAGGGGCCGAATGTGCCTCGAGAAGCCCCGGAACTTCCCGAGTGGAACTCGGCTGACTTCGGCTGCTTCCGGAAGCCTCCGATCTTCCTGACGGTTCTCCGGAAGTCGTGGCCGTTCCGAGACGCCGGTGCCTGGACGTGTGGTCTCCGTCCGGTGTTTCCAAAAGCTCGACCGTCGCCCGGGGGTTCCCGACGTAGCGGAGTCCTGCAGGGACGTTTCCGACGCCGCCCGCGAGCCGGAAACCGTGGGAAGGCTTCGGCCACCCCGGGGTCCCTGGCTGGGGGCGGGCGGACTCCGCTCCTGGCGTCTCCGGCGGCCCCAGACCCGGCCCGGCGGCCCATCCCTGCCCTGTTGTGCCTCCCCGCGCTTAGTGCGGGACTCGTGTCCCTGGGACAGGCCGGCGCGGAGGCTCACGCCTGTCATCCCGTGCTTGGGGAGGCCAAGGCGGGAGGATTGCTTGAGCCCGGGAGTTCGGGACCGGCCCGGGCGACCTAGGAGATGCGTCTCTACCAAAAGAAAAATTAGCCGGGCGTGGTGCCGTGCACCTGTCGTCCCAGCTCCTCGGGAGGCTGAGGCAGGAGGATCGCCTGCCCCCAGGGGTGGGGGCTGCCGTGAGCTGTGATCGTGCCCCTGCACTCGCAGCCCGGGCGACAGAGAGAGGCCTTGTCTCCAAAAAAAAACCAGGGGGATGGAAGGACTTCAGTGTTGGCTACTTCTTGCTTGCAAGCCTTTATCAAGTCTTCCCAGGTCTGCACAAACTTCACAACAATGTCCTGGAAGTCCTCTTAGACCTCTAGGGAAAAACCGGAAGCAGATAACTGCGACTTTAGGGAATTTATCAGCAGCTCAAAGCTCCAAGGAGACGCAGTGCTATTCAATATCGCAGATAACGTCTGGTTCAGACGGTCTACGCGAGGGACTGCAAAGTCGGCTGGCCTCCGAAGCTGTGATTCTCACCTAAGAGTGTTCTTTCCAGCAGGCGCAGTGACAGCGCACCTGGAGGCCCAGATACTCAGGAGGCGGAGGCAGGTGGTTCACTGGAGTCCAAGAGGTGGAGGCTGCGGCGAGCCATGATTGCACTGCTGCACTCCAGCCTGGGCGACGTATTTTTTCAACAGATATCCTTTGTCATTACGTTAAACGCCATTGAATGTTTCTTACTTCCTCCAAGAAGCATGCACCTTCTTTGACTATGCTCCTGTCTTCTTTTTTTTTTTGAGTTGGAGTCTCACTCTGTCGCCCAGACTGGAGTGCAGTGGCCGCTGAAAGAACTTAGGCGCCAGTAACAACTCCACACCCATTAGGGACCAAGAGATTTATTAAAGCGGTGGCTACAGGGAAAAGGAAAAGGGTCTGT